ACCATCAATTCCAAGAAATCTCAACATGCAAACGAATGAAATGAATAATGGAGATCTCGGGTAAGCAGCAAACCAGCAAGCTAGATCTATAAACACGGATATTAGATATGATGCAGTGTCCTTATGACTCGTACAACGGTACAATTGGAGCAACACAACTTTGACCTTGATAGACAAATCAAGAGCCCAAAGAAAAGCTTAGAACTTCTAATTCTTCATATGATTAGTACAACAAAAGCTTTTTTACTTCGCGCCAAATCTCTTTTGAGAAAATGCAATGATTGTCTAGAGTATTATATGTTTCAAGAGCCACACTTCATGCTTTCGGCATATTTCATACATGCATGTAATACATGTAGTGCAAAGCTATAAACATAAAAAAACTTTATTATCTTACGAGAAAATAAATTTATAAATCTCTTTTATGCTAAATGCAATGAGTGTCTAGAGTACTATTCCATGTCATGAGTTAAGTTGGATTAATTATGTCAAGTGAATTCAACACCAAATCTCAATCTAAAATATTAATAATTAAGTTCATGGACCATTCTACTTATATGGATTTCACTTAACTCATTATCAACTAACATATGATTTAATCACACTTGAATATTTCAATACTCCGCTTATCTAATATCCCGTAGTTTTTGTTTCTTTGATTTGGGGTTGTTAAGCCCTCCTTGTTGGAAATTTTTTCAATACAACGGGAGTACCAAATTCGGTACTCTTTTTTTTGGTAAACAATTTGGTACCCTTTTACTAAATAGGAAAATTATTTTTTCCATTTTAATCCATATTTTTCTTTATATTCCTTTTTAAATCCTAAAAACTTTCCTTTTTTAGCAAGGATTTAGGTAGTACCACTGCACCGAAGGTTTTCTCAAAATGTGTGGGCCCGTGCTTTTTTTCTTTCTCTTCTCTTCACATGATTCTACATATTTTTATGTATATAAAGAAGATAAAATTATCTACTATAACATAAAAAACATTAATCCAATAAAAGAAATAAGTTAGAACAATAGTGACTAAAAGGGAATGAATTAAAATATTGGTAAATATGCAAAAAAATAAAAAAAATAAATAAATATGGGTAAATAACCAGATTGTTTTTGGATACGTATATAACTTGAATTGAGAGGATAATTTGTCATAAACTAAAAGCCTAGAAATCATTTCATGCCAAATACCTTGTGAGGATGGGTTGGTTGACTTGGTTCTATTAAAGATGCACCAAATGAAAATCACACTATTTTATAAAAGGGTTATGTTTATCTCATTTTACATGATATAAATAACTCTCCTACACACATAAAAATGGGTTAGGTCTCATTGCTCTTTTTTCTCTTTTCTCTTACCTGTGGGTCCCACTTATACTTTTATTTCTACAACATGAGGTAATTTTTTCCTACGACATAAGAAAAATGTATCCCTTTATAAAATATTAATAGTTAGATAAAAAGAAATGATAATTTTTTTTTTGTTTATCGATATTTTATTTTCGAAGGCTTTGTGTGTGTGTTATTTAAGGCTATAAAGACATAAAACTTTGACTATTATTTTACATGCAAAGAAATAAATTGAAATAATAGTAATTAAATAATAAATAAATAAAAATAATAATGATTAACACGAAATAAAGTAATTTGGAGATATAATTGAGGGATAACTGACAAGTGTTAAGTGCTTTTGTTTTCTGAGTAAATTTTTTTAGTTTTTTTAAGGGTTTGATATTTGTCATTTTAAATGACATAAGTTATGTCATTTTATGAGAGAGATAGACACAAGGAATGAAAATCATGAGGAGAAAGTGGGTGGTTTTTTTTAATTTAAATTTTAAATATAAAATTTATTTTGTGTCTATCTCTCTCATAAAATGATGTCATTTTATGTCATTTAAAATGATAAACATTTTTCCCTTTTTTAATATGCATTATTATTTTGGGTTTTTATTTTATTTTTAAACAAACTTATCTAGTTAGCACAAAATTTTGAAACATGTTTTTAGTATAAAAAGTTCATACTTTAAGTTTCACATGCATAAACTTTCTTAAAAAACTTACACATAAATTTGGTAAACAATATGGGTGTGCATGACAACCATTCTGTTTCCTGGCACTGTTTCTGAAAAGAAACAATTCTTTTATATTTCTGTGCCTTGGAACAATTACTGAGAAAAAAAAAATTTATTCCGAGAATGAGAATTGTGTTTGATAACATAACAAATAATAGAATAAAAAATAATTCCTATTAAGCATAAAAAAAATTTGGATCATCACTTTCCTTTACATATGGTGGGGTGGTGGTGGTGGTGGCGGCAGTGGTGGTTGTAGTAGTGGCGTTGTGGTGGTGGTGGCGATAGCGATGGCATCATAGTGGTGGTGGAGGTGATGTCATGGTAGTGGTAATGGTGGTGGCAGCGGTGACAATAGTGGTGATGACATGGAAATGATGGCGGAGGTAATGGTGACAGCGACGGCGGTGGTAGTGATGTGACGGTAGTAGTTACGTCGATGGTGGCGGTGATAGTAGTGATAATGGTGGTGACAATGATGGTTGTGGTGGTGGCGGTGACGTATATGTGGTGATGGTGACAGCAGTGGCCGCAACGATGGTGGTGATAATAGTGGCGATGGTGGTGGTGATGATGACGACATGGTGGTGGTGGCGATGGCGATGGTGTAGTGGTGGTGGTGGCGGTGGCAATGACGTGATAAAGGTAGTGGTAGCAGCGGCAGTGGTGGTAATGGTGGCATAGTGGCAGCGACGGTGGTAGTGGTGGTGGTGACGGCAGTGTCTACGACGATGGTGATGATGATAACATGGTGGTGGCAGTGGCATGATAATGGTAGTGGTGGCGACGACGATGGTGGTAATGGTGGTGGCGGTGGTGTCTACGATAATGGTGATGGAGATGACATGGTGGCGGCGGCAGCGACAACGATGGCAGTAGTAGTGGTGGCATTGTGGTGGTGATGGCAGTGGCTACGATGATGGTGGTTGTGGTTAGTGACGGTGGTAATGACAATGGTGGTGACGGTGATGGTAGTGGTGGTGGTGGTGGTGTTGGTAATGACGATGGTGGTGACGTGAAGGTGGTGGTGGTGGTACGACGATGGTAACCGTGGTTGTGTCGGGATGGTGGTGGCGGCGGTGATGATGGTAGTGGTGGAGGGTAATTGAGCGAGATAAGTGTTTCTCATTTTGTGTTCGGGAAAAAAAAGTAGAATTTTTTTATTCTTTTTTCTGTTCCTCAGCATAAAAAATAAATCGGTTCATCCCGGAATAAAAAAATAAATCGATTTTACCAAACGAGTTTTCTATCCATTTCTGTTCCCGAGAACAGAAATTAAAAAATAAAAATTGATTCCGGGAATGTTGTCATGCACACCATATATCAAACTCTACGATAATAAATAATTATAACAGAAAAATTTAGTCTTTAAAAACTAATTTGTATAGAAAGATGTGCTTCTTTCTATCAAAGAAAAAAATCTCATCCTAGATTGAATTATTATTATTATTATTTTTGAAAAAACTTTAATTTCACCCGTTGTGATTTAATGGTGTATCACTTAACCTCTTGTGATTTCAAACTTAGCATTTATACATATTGTGGTTACACGAATTTATCATTTAACCTTATCTGATTTCAAATATTCACTTACACCCATCATGGTAACAAAAATAAATCATTTAGACTTCAAAGGTCTTATAAATATAAAATTCTTTATTTTTTTTCTAACTTTTATTTTATATAATTATGATATTATCAAACAAACTTTTAGTAAAATTAAGTATTAATGATTAAATTTAAAAATATTTAAAGATTTTGAAATTATTTTAAAAATCATCTTAAATTTTTTTAGTTATGTAAAAATATATATTTAAAATTAAGAATATTATTCAAGATAAATTAAAGACATATTGTTATATTTTTAAAATATTATAACAATGTCAAATAAATAAATAAAATAATATTTGTAAATTAATAAATAAAATAATATTTGACTTAAATTTTTTTTTTTATGATAAAAATATAAGACCACAAAATTTAAATGTGTATCATCTAATGAATTTAATTCAAATAAAATAAAATAATAAATATTTTTATCGTGAATCAAATGCTTAAATGAAACATTTAAATAAATGTTATATATATAAGTATGTGCGCGCGTCCATGCGTGTGCATGTGTGTGCGTGCGTATGTATGTAAGAGACTACAAGAGATCTAAGTGATACATTTTTATAATCATAGTGGGTATACATGATACTTTGAAACTTCAAGGGGTTAAATGATATATTTTTTGTAATCACGTAAGGTCAAGTGATAAATCATTTAACCACGTATCTTCATTTTACATTTACCATTCTCATCATTAGATTAATGGTTAGATTAATTTAGAATTAAAGACAGTTAATTTTTTATTACAAATAAAAAAAAGTTAATTTTTGCTCTTTTTAATCATTGATTTTAAATTTCAAAAGTAACGGAGAATTTTAACTGTAAGTAAATTTAAACCGTTCAAAAAGTTGACTCTTCTCAAAATAATAATTAGGAACGATATAAAAAAAATAATATTTTTATTATTGTATAAATTTTTTTGTCACACTCACATAAAAATAAGTGAGTCACATTGTGGGAAAAAAGAAAAATAATAAAATTCACTTACTTTTATATGAATATGGTAAAAAAATATTTCTGCAATAAAAAAAAATACTTTTAAAAAAATAGGGTAAAGTATAACATCCTAATATAAATATATTAAATAAAAAAACCATATTGGCATGTTCAGTAACAACTAACACACCCACTGTAATAGGGTTGTTTATTATGTCTGGTGGGAATAGACAACACAAAAGAGACACACATGACACAACACAAGTTGAAATAAAAAATAAAAAATAAAAAATAGAAAATAATAAATTGAGGGAGCAACAACAAAATTGGACCATGTATAAATAAATAAACAAAAGGACTCCATCCAACGGGGAGTGTTGCTATTTATTTTATTTTATTTATTTAATTGGAACCGAGTAAACGCCGTTTCCTTTCCCAGCTTCTTAGAGACACAGAACGCACGTTGTTGATGAAACTGCTTCTGTCTGTAACCGTTTTCAGAGGATTGCTTCATTTGCTTGGTGTTATTGTTGTTGCTATTTCGTTACACACTGTTTCCTCCTCTCAGGGATCTCGTTGTTCAATATAAACGGTTTTGTTTTTTGTTGTGTGGAATGAGGAGGAGGATTCAGATTGGTTCCTAAAGCTTGACGAAGTGACAATTATCTTTTTCATTTTTATTTTTTTTTGGGTTTTTGGGTTTGTTGACTTGTGTTGAACGATGTTGAATCGTGGGTCAAATGTTTCGGCTGAAGGTGGGAATCGAATGTTTCTGAGAATCTGAGGTTTCTTTTTTTGTGGTTAACCGTAGAAGCTGATTGTGGTTCTGTTTTTTTTTTTTGTGAAGGGGTGGTTTGTTCCGGTGAGGATGAGCTGTATGTGCAGCAATGGAAGGCCTGTGCGGGCCCACTGGTCGATGTTCCTGGTGTTGGCCAGAGAGTCTTCTATTTCCCTCAAGGACACACCGAGCAAGTAAGTTTTCATTTCATTCCCTTTTGTTACATAGCACTCTTGCAAAAAACTTTCACTCTCTCTCTCTCTCTCTCTTTTCCTTATCAGGAATTTTTTTTTTTTTTTGGTATGGAAAATTTGTTTTCATTTTGTGAAAATGGAATTGTTGGGTAATCTTGGTTATGCTGGATTAATATTTTTTTTTTAATTTTTTCATTAATTTTTGTTGTTGTTGTTGTTGTAGTTAGAGGTGTCAACAAATCAAGAACTGAATCAGAGAATTCCTCTGTTGAAACTTCCCACAAAGATCCTTTGTCGTGTCGTGAATGTCCATTTACTGGTAAATCTTTTCTCTTTAAAAATCATCCTTCATTTCTATTTTTACTATTTTTTTAAAATAATTATATAAAAGAAAAATGAAAAATCTTATTTGGTTTGGTCGCTGAGAAGATGGTCAAAGGATAATCTGGGTTCTGGTGTTTCTATGTACAATTTGGTGTAAAATTATCAATTAATATAATATGTGATTTTGTTGGGGAGAGGAAACAAAAGCTTACCTTGAATTTTGATATGTTTTAGGCTGAACAAGAAACAGATGAGGTTTATGCACAGATTACTTTGGTTCCAGAATCTAATGTAAGGATGTAGTTGCCCCTTTTGACTTTCAATAATTTTCATGTTCAACCTTAGATTCTTTTGCCCCGTTGGTTTAGATTCTAATGGAACAAATGTATCAGCAAGCTGAGCCTACTAGCTCTGATCCGTGCACTGCTGAACCTCCGAGGGCAACAGTTCATTCATTCTGCAAGGTCTTAACGGCTTCAGATACCAGCACACATGGTGGCTTCTCTGTTCTCAGGAAACATGCCACGGAATGCCTTCCTGCTTTGGTATTACTTTCTATTTCACTTTTATTGAGCATTAGAGTGGTAAGATTGCTCCTTGTTAACGTAAGTTTACAAGTTCGAGTTCTTTGCTTGCAAGCTCACCCATACCCTCTCAAATCAGGGAGCCTTGTGCACCGAGGTTTGCCCTTTATTCCCAAACTACCTTAGGCCCTTGCTTATGTTTGAAAAATAATATGTTTGGAATAGGACATGTCTCAACCAACACCAACACAAGAATTGGTCGCCAAGGATCTTCATGGTTATGAATGGCGCTTTAAACATATATTTAGAGGTAATGGACATGATTAGTTTTCATTTCAGTTCTTGTGATTGGACTTTGGAATGGCCTAATGATTTTCCCTTGAACTTGCGTTTCTTTTTTATCAGGTCAGCCACGCAGACACTTACTCACGACTGGATGGAGTACTTTTGTGACATCCAAGAGATTAGTTGCTGGAGATACCTTTGTGTTTTTGAGGTAAACATTTTTTTGTTTTTCTTTAGTTTCATTCATATAAGTTCAGAAATCTTCTAGCTTTCTACTGTAAATTCATGTAAGAATTTATCTGTTTTGCTGTACAAGCTTTACTTTAACTAAGATCTTGTCTATAGAGGGGAAAACGGGGAATTACGCGTTGGAGTGAGGCGTCTTGCTCGTCAGCCAAGTAGCTTGCCATCATCTGTGATTTCCAGTCAGAGCATGCACCTAGGAGTGCTTGCAACTGCCTCTCATGCTGTTTCAACTCAGACTCTTTTTGTAGTATATTATAAGCCAAGGTAGAATTTATACTTATTTCAAGAACTAGAAAATGTGTTATTGATAAATAACTAGTAGATTATTGTGTTGACATGAGCTTTTGTTTGCTTAGGACGAGCCAGTTCATCATAAGCGTGAACAGGTACTTGGAGGCTATCAACAATAAGTTTAGTGTTGGCATGAGGTTCAAGATGAGGTTTGAGGGGGATGATTCTACTGAGAACGACAAAAGGTAGGAAATTTATCACTGTAGTTTGTTTTGCGACCTTTACATAGCTGTTCTAATACATGGTTGCTCAGATTTTCGGGTACAGTTGTTGGAGTAGAAGATATTTCTCCTTATTGGGTAGATTCAAAATGGCGATCACTTAAGGTATTTTGTCATCTTTGATTCTGATATTAATCATTTTATTTTCGGTGATGGTATGTTATTCATTTTTCCCGGGTCAATCCCCAGGTTCAATGGGATGAAGCTGCAGCTGTTACAAGACCGGATAGGGTTTCACCATGGGAGATAGAACCTTTTGTGGCTTCTGCTTTGACACCCTCAATTCAACCAACAGTTGTAAAGACTAAAAGGCCTCGTCCCCCCAGTGAAATTCCAGATGTTGGTGAGGAATCATTTCTAATAGCTCCTTCCATTTCTTATATTGATCAAGTTATTGGTTTTGTTTGACACACTACATTCCACTTTCAAACTAGACACGACATCGGCTGCTTCTGTTTTCTGGGATGCGGGGCGTACTGATATGAGTAGTAAAAGCAACAGCAACACTATATTAAGGAATACAACAGAAGGAAGTTGGCTATCTTCTCCAAATTCTAGTTGTCCTTCTCATTTGATTCAGGACACAACAGATGATAGCAAGAGTGTCTCGGCTTGGCCTGTTTCAAATCCTCAGTCATCCAGATTGAACAACAATCCTGTGCTTGTTGACCAAGTTGATAAGGAGAACAAAATCGAGACTGCTACGAGTTATCGATTGTTTGGAATCGAGCTTATTGATCATTCCAGGAACTCACCTGCTGTAGAAAAGGCATCAACACATGCAGTAAATGTACCAAGAGTTATTACAACTGAAGGCTATGTTAGCGCTGTGTCCAGAATTGATGCTGGCCATAAGTCTGATGTATCAAAGGCTTCGAAGGAGAGGAAACAAGAACAGCAGCAAGTACCCCCAAAGGAGACTCAGAACAAGCAAATTTGTAGCAGAAGTCGCACCAAGGTTTTGAAGATAGATTTTTTTTTTGGATAATAGTTTAGATGTTATATAATATAGTCTATACTAAATTTTTTTTCTGATTTAAACTTTCTATTTGTGTTCAAAAAATGTCAAAAGGTTCAAATGCAGGGGGTTGCAGTGGGTCGCGCCGTGGATTTGACAACGTTGGATGGGTATAATCAACTTATTGATGAGTTAGAAGAGCTTTTCGACATAAAGGGACAGCTTCAAGTCAGAAATAAGTGGGAAATTGTCTTCACTGATGATGAAGGGGATATGATGCTTGTGGGAGATGATCCATGGCCGTGAGTATCTCCTTAAACTCAATTATAAGACACGACAGTGGTGCACGCATGTGCTGTCATAAAAATTAGTAGGAACAAATGCAGAAAAATATGGTAATTGGAGAGAAAAGAAAAATGAGAGCTTAGATAATATCACAAATCAGTGTCAAACTACTCCCTTTATTGTACTCATTAATGTAACCTTCTCTCATTATTTTCTTGCAGTGAATTCTGTAATATGGTGAGAAGAATCTTCATTTGTTCCAGCCAGGATGTGAAGAAGATGAGTTCAGGAAGCAAACTTCCAATCTCTTCAATCGAAGAAGGGACTGTAATTAGCTCAGACACAACTGAAACCTGAAACTTTGACATTCTTTTCTTGTCCTTTTATGTTTCTGTTTGTCTGCACCCAACTGTTGATCCTTTCTTGTTGCTGCTATTGTTTGTGGGAAGGAAGTTGGTGTGTTTTGGCTAGGTAAGTTTCATGTTATTAGATGTGAAACAACTAGCTAATTGTAACTTAATTTTTAGAGACACCAGGCATTAATTGTGCTAGAAAAGACTAAAATAGATTACTTTAATAAATTAGTGGGAGAAGGCAAATTTAGGCTTAGCGTCTGTGTATATTCATGTTAAGTTGGAAGAAGAATTGTTTGGATTTGATGTTTAAGACTTGCCTTCTTTGGTCAAGGGGCCTATTTATGATTGTATGCATAGTGTGCAATTGTGCCTTCTAAAATTTCTAATCTGGTTGAGTCAATGTTTATGGCTGTCAACAATAAATTTGAATTATGGCATTAAATTGGTGGAATTATATTGTTCAGAAATACAGTGGTCCACTGCACCAGTGAGACACTGACTCACCTAACAAATGGATTGAATCTGGTGGTGGCACCACAAAATATTCACTTGAGGCCCGTATATTCTTCCCACTTGAGTCAGTTCTCAGACTCAACAACGGTAAAATTTCATGTTGCCATTCAAGTCTTAATAGTAAAGAGTTATGAGTACAATGTTGTTCCGTATGAACCATATTTCCAGCTATTCACTAATTATAAAATAAAAATAATAAAGTAAGAAAATTGTGGCGGTAAATCATGGTATAATACGTTTCGTTGACAACCAATCTAATTGTACTTAACTACTTATACTTAAATTCAAAGGTTATGTGAATTATCAATGCTGATAAGTATTATTATGCTTGGGCCTCATTTGAATAGTATTAAGTGTTTAAAGATCTGTGAATCGTTCATGGGAGAAAGAAACATTCGTATTTACTCTAGGAGTTGATGGAATTGTAAATGCATATTTAATGTCAACGTGCTTGTAGTTCATTTGTTGCCGGTTATAGTTTTTAAGGCTGGCTTGTGATGTTGACCGGATCTCCTAAGAAATAAGAAAAACATATTTATTAGAAACGTATTCCCCTAGTTGGAAGTTCAATATAATACGAAGCCTTTTAAATCCTTTTACCATAAGTAAAATGGTATATTTGCTCTAACCGGTATAGGCTTTTTTTTTTTTTTTTTTTGTATAAAAAAGGAAACTAAAACAAGACAGAACTATATCTCACTGGCCAATCTAGGCCAAGCAATGCCCCTGTAGTCCCTACTAAGCAACTCTATACAATCATCAGGAGGAATTTCGAAGAAGCTAGTCCCCCAACCCAAACTACTCGCTATACCAGCAAAGAAATCAGCTACACTATTCCTTTCCCTATACACATGAGAAATCTTCACCTGCTAATCATAACTAAGCAGCTGATTAATCCTTTGAATAAGAGAGGCACAAGGATGGCTTAGAAGGCATCCCTCCTTCACAAGCTGGATAGCAAAGCGGGAATCACCTTCCAGGAACACCTTCCTAAAGCCCTTCTCCCATGCTAAATGAAGTCCCACTAGCACCCCCCACACTTCTGCCCTGACCGAACTTGCTCTTCCAAGATTCTTTGCAAATCCCATAACCCATCTGCATGTATCATCGCGCACCACACCCCCACAACCACACTGGCCATTCTGATTCCTAACTGAGCCATCCACATTTACTTTGACCCAACCTGAGGGAGGAGGAGTCTAATGAACCAGAATTTCAGTTTTAGGACCCTTCAGAATCCCTGCAGTCCTATATAGTGCATTGGCATTCATAAAATTAGAAAAATAAATGCAAGCACTCCTAGATAACCCCTCTACATCTGATCTCAGATTCTCAAAAACAAAGCAATTTCTGTCCTTCCATAACATCCAGCAAATAATGCCAAATAAAATGCAGCCATTGTCACCTTCCACAACACTACCCTTAGGTGACATATTGGATTGGATCTAATCCACTAAGTTTAGATTTACAAATCTATCCCAACTCTCCTGCTTAACAAAGGACTTCCATACAAGTTGAGCCCATCCACAGTCCCTTAACACATGCAAACAGCTTTCAGAATTGCTAAAACATCTAGGACAAGCATCATTATCAGACATATGCCTCTCTTTTCTCCGAAGGTTAGTCAAGAGATTCTCTCCAAGAGCAAGCCAAAGAAGGTCTTGATCCTTGGGGGACCCCCCAGTCCCAAATTAAACTCCATTGAACAGACTCATGGGCTGCATTTTCTGGGCTCAGGCTACCAAAAGCTGAACCAATGGAGAATCTACCATCATTTGAGAGATCCCAAATAATCATATCCTCTCCATTTAGAGGACTAGGATGGCAAATTCCTGCTATCAGTCCCAAGGTATCATCTGATAACAAACTACCAAACCTCTGCCAATTCCAATCCCCATCTTCCTGCACCATGTCACCAGTGACAGCATCTAACAGGTCACAAGGAATGTCCTGAATTATGTGATCTTACAGGGGACCATCCCCCACCCATTTGTCATTCCAAAAGGAACACCTCCTTCCATTACCCACCAAGACTCTAGAACCCTCCAGAATTTGGGGCCACACTCTAGTTATCCCCTGCCACAAATTAGAAGACTCAAGTCTCTTCATAATATTTGGGATCAAGTTCTCCTCCACCTTGTACTTTCCTCTAAAAACTCTAGCCCAGAGATCACCCTTGCTTGTAAGCAACCCGTGGCCAACCTTCATTATACAAGCTCTATTTGTTTGTCTCAAGCCTCTAATACCCAACCCACCTTCCCTCTTGGGTTTGCAAACTGTGTTCCAAGGTAAAGCATGAACTTTCTTCACTTCCCTACTAGAGCCCCACACAAAACTCCTCATTTGCTGCTCAATAACATCACAGGTCACAACTGGAATCATGGCAGTTTGCATAGAATAAATTGGTAAAGCTGAAAGAACAGCCTTGGTCAAGACTACTCTTCCAGCCAGAGACAAAGTTTTCTGCTTCCAAGCATTGAGCCTACTGCTTGTTTTCTCCAAAATATGCCTGAATGTATTCCTATTTACTCTTTTATGCAGAATGGGCATCCCTAAGTACTTTCCCAAATCAGCCGTAGGGGAAAACTTTAGGACTTGACAAAGCTCCATTCTCCTAGTATGATTCACATTTTTTGAATAACAAACTCTAGTTTTATTCTCACTCACCTTCTGACCAGAGGCAAGGCAAAACTGATTCAAAATACTGATAGCTAACTCAGCTTGACTGATAGAAGCTTCCATGAATAAAAGCAAATCATCAGCAAAAAACAAATGAGAAATGGGGGGACCTTTCCTACCCAGCTTCACTGTCTTCCATTCTTTCTGACTCACGGCTGAAGAAATAAGGTGTCCCAGCCTCTCAATGCATAGCACAAAGAGATAAGGAGACAAGGGGTCTCCTTGCCTGATCCCCCTTGTGGGTTTGAAATCCTCAGTTTGACAACCATTCCAAAGCAGATCCATGGTTGAAGTGGAAACACAAGCCTGATCAACTAAATAAGATATTCAGGAAGTCCAGCCAAACTAAGAGTTTCTTGAAGAAAAGCCCAACTTATCCTATCATAAGCCTTCTCCAAATCCACTTTAATAGCCATCCAACCTTTAGAACCTTTTTTTAGATCTCATGAAGTGAATAATCTCCTGTGTAATAATGACATTATCAGAAGCATGCCTCCCCTTAATGAAGCTACACTGATTAGGCATGATAAGATCACTAAGATGATTCCTCAACCAACCAGCCACAATCTTAGTGACCACCTTGTAAATCACATTGCACAAGGAAATGGGCCTAAATTGGCTTAAGGATTCAGGCTTGTCAAATTTAGGAATGCGACAAATTAAAGTCTGGTTGATCTCCTCCACCTTGCTAGGGTCTTTAAAAATACCCCTAATACACCTGACAGCAGATTCCCCTACCTTCTCCCATTGTGATTGAAAGAAAATAACATGTAATCCGTCCAGCCCAGGAGCTTTATAAGGCTTCATGTCCAAGAAAGTACTTCTCACTTCCACCCTACTCGGAACAGCCCCCATATTCCTCCAACTTGGATTATCAATAGCTGGAAATCCATTACCTAAACTGCCATCACTCCTAGTAATAGACTCCTCCATATAGAGGTTTTTAAAGAAGTTCACAGCCATGCACTTCAACTCCAAAGGATCTTCCACCCACTCCCCCCTTCCTTCTTGAGGGACAAAATCTTATTCTTCCTTGTTCTAGCCACTATAGTGGAATGAAAGAACCTAGTGTTTTTATCCCCAAAGGCCAGCCATTTGCATCTTACACGTTGGAACCAAGTCAGTTCCTCTTGGATAAAAATAGCATTCAACTCCTGCCATATCTCTTTATGCATTCTCTCCAAAGACTCAGAAGGTCCCCAACTCAACTCAGCTTCCAGCCCCCTTAACCTGCCTTGTAGTTGTTTCTTCCTTCTATGCAAAGCCTTAAAGGTATTCAAGTGCCAATGAGCAACTTCATGATGAAACTTCTCCTTAGCAGCAACCCAGTTCAAATTGTGGTTCCAACAAGAATCCACCACCTCACCAAATTCACCATTTGTCAACCAAGCAACAAGAAACCTGAAAGGTTTTGGACCAGCAAAGACCTCATTTACCTCATCCTTCAAAAGGATAGGTCTATGTTCAGAACCACTAAAAATAAGGTGGTGAACAGAACTGTTAGGGTGATTCAGCAGCCAGGAGTCATTAGCCACCACCCTATCAATCCTCTCCTGCAACCTACCTCTCTTCCAAATAAATTCGGGACCAACAAACCCCAAATCCGAGAGATTACAGTCAATTAGACACCTGGAAAATTCCTGAATACTCCCCCAACAGACATCACTCCCACCTTGCTTCTCATTCTTCTCCAACAGGGAATTAAAATCTCCTAAGACAACCCAATCAGACACAACAGTCAACCCAATACTTCTAAGATTCTCCCAAAGTCCTTTCCTATCAACTCTTCTAGGACTCCCATAGACAAAGGTACAGAATTCAGATTTACCACTCACAATCCAGTTAATCTTAGAGTGTACAAACTGATGGTCATCCAGCTCAATGGACACATATGAGACGCTTTTATTCCAAAGAATCCAAATCCCACCAGAAAACCCAGAAGCTTCTCTTATGAAATAACTATCAAAACCCAAACTCCGAATTACTTCCTCAGCTCTACTACCACTTATTCTAGTTTCCAGCAATGCCAGAATCTGAATCTTATTCTGAAATATCATATCTTTTATTAGGGAAGAGAAACCTTTTTTTCCTGCTCCCCTACAATTCCATGAACAGACTATCATCAAAACTATTTTAATAAAAACAGAAGAAACACCAAAAATTGCCTCAAGACTAAACCAGTAACTTGGTTTTCTGAGCTTCACCCAAATTGGTGATATCATCCAATATCATAGCCTCTTTACTTCCCACAGTCATCTTCCTCCCCCCATCAAGACTGTCTGGTGGTTTGTCTTTGAGAATATGCACTTTCCCAAATCCTTTTCCCTCATCCACTGTGCCTACTGTATTTCCCTGTCCACCACTACCACCACAAGCAGCCATGTTCCTAGGGATGGCAAAGTGGGCAGCCCACCCCGCCCCGCCCCAACCCGCCATCAACCCGCTAAAAAATGAGTCAACCCGCCCCGCCCCGTTTGGCAGGTTGGCCCGCCAGCCCGAGCCTATTTTACACTGACCCGCCTCGGCCGGCCTATGCCCGCCTATGCCCGCCATCAACCCGCCAAAAAATGAACCCGCCCACCCCGCTTTTCAGATGGGTTGAAAAACTCAGCCCGCCCCGCCCCGTTTAACGGGTAGGGCGGGTTGGCCTGCTGTGCCGAGCCCGTTTTTCCATCTCTACCTGTTCCCACCAGCTTTCATAATAAGAATAGCTTCCCTCTGATTCAAGCCAACCTGCTGACTGGTATTTTTCTGCAACTGAGTTTCAGGATCTCCTCTTAAGGCACCCACCTTCATAAGTGACTCCTGGAGACTCTTCTTCCCAGACTTCTTAGTCCTTTTTTTTCCTTTTAGACTCAGATCCTTTACTGCCTGAACCACTTCCCTTCGAAGAATCCAATTCACTAATAACTGAGCCACCTGATTGGACCAACAAAATAGGATGCTCCATTTCACTACCTTCCCCAAGCAAGGAGAATCTTGATCCCGAAGGGGATTTCCTATTCCCAAGGCTAGGACTAACCAAATCCTGATTCTCAACCCCTGGCCCAGAAACTCTGACTTTCTGCTGCAAGTTGGGTTTCCTATTCCTGTTCCCTCTCTGAACTGTCATCCAATTCCCGAATCCATCCACTTCTTGACTTTTCTCAACCTCCTTATTATTCTCACCAGAATTAACATCTCCCTCATATGGCATTTGGCAATCCATCTTATCTCCCTCTACTGGTTTTTCCAGGTTCACAGGATTAAGCAAACATTTATCTTTTCTATGACCATACTGGCCACAGCCAAAGCATATGAGGTGAAGACCTTCATAGCCTATAAACAATTGTCTCAGACCAATACGAAATTTAGACAAAAGACTCTTACTAAGATCAACTTCCACACAAATACGGGCAAACTTACCTGTATCCGTGATCTCTTCCAGTTGTCCCTGTCCACTAAATCTCAAGGAGCTTTCATCAATCCGCAAGGTTCCGCCCACCATATTGCCCATCCTCCACAAATCTTTATACGTGTAGAACTCCTTAGGAACCCCTGGAATCCTTATCCAGACAGCAAGCTTCTTCACACGATCATCATAAGTGTCGAAGTTCGGCCTCCACCTTTGAACTACCAGGTAATGATCCGCTACAACCCAAGGCCCCTGTTGTTGAACAAACAAGTAGTCTTGTGATTTCTCGAATTCCACCAGAAAATGATCATTCTCGAGGTCCAGCACACGGTACTCCCCTTCGAGGTTCCACAGCTTGTGGAGTCTATTCCACAGAAATCTAGCACCCAGTCTCTTCCCCATTAGCTTGACAATCAACGTCAACTTCCATCTCTTGCACTGTTCCAATTTCTCCAGGATATCGAACTGATAATAAGGGTTGAGTGGGTCATCCTCCTGCGTCTGTTCGTACGCTCTAATGGCCTCCTCTTCATCCAGCTCGTCCCTTCTACTCTATGCCAGCCATTTGTCCTCTTCATCTCACTGATGATCATCCCACACACCATTAACCCTAAGAAGCTGATCCTTATAAGAAATCAGCTTCCTAGGTTCCCTAAGCACCTCCTCTTCCTTCCCCGTCCCCTCAGAGACCTCCGGGTACAGCTCCGTCGCGATTTCCTCTACCTCCGTAGCGCCCATTACCGGAGAAGATTCCTGCATAACCAGATCCGTCATTCCCTCACCTTTCGCCTTCTTAGGTTCTCTCCATATAGTGCCATCCTTCTCAGAAGTTGGGGAATTACTCCCTCTCTCCACCATCGTCACCTAGAACCGAAGAAATCAAGCCAAAAAACCTAGCAGAGCTTATTTTTTCTCCTCACGCGCCCCAAAGCCAAATCCCCGGTATAGGCTTTTTTTACCATACATATCGTTAATTATAGTTTATAGCAATGTTATTACACGTGTCGGGATATTATGTCACTATCATTTTAAACTGGTGTGGTGGGTAAGTATGTGTAAATTTATATTTTATACTCAAAACTATACAAATATATTCAAATATATATAAGAAATGATACAAAATTGTCAATCCATGTAACATCTAGCCACATCAGATTTTAACAAAAAGGCTCATGCTTCTTTAAACATTTAATATCTATTACAAGTTTACACTCTTAACTCTTATCAAGAGAAAACAAACAAGTCAAACTGGTAGCACAAAAACATATTATTGTGTCCAAAGACTCAAAGTTGTGTGAAATTCAGGCTCTCTTTCCTCATCAAATAAATTTGAAGCTTGGCCAACATTGTCTTTAGTTTGCATTTTTCATGGTGTTGTTTTATGTGTCATCTTCATCGTCATCAACCAAATTTAATTGATTTAAGACAAATGTCAATTTTCATGTAAGTTAGTAATTAACAAAAAGTGATCAAACAATAAAATTATAATTATAATGCAATAAATAAACATGTCAATATCATCTAGTTGAATGAAAATGTTTGCAAATTTGGCGCATCACATCAATATTGATATTAATATAGAATATTGCGTATGATGAAATAAATTAGTATTGATATTATTCAATAATAATAAGAATTAATGCTTACAAAAAAAGAAAGTTATCAACCATTAATTTTACCTAGCATTATCGTATTTTACTCACTTTTAGTGGATGATCTTCCAAAATCTAACTTAGCATTTTTAAATATTCTCATCTCACTTATGTAAAACCTTTTCCTTGTATTCTTTCTAGCATTAAATGTAGCTTGATAAAGAAAATCTTGCGCAAGCTTTTCTTCACTATCAACAATATGCTGCATGCAAATAAGTGGCTCGGTAAGTTTCACAATATTAATATATTGTTTCCAAAAATTAGAATCTAAGAGTTGTTCCACAATTTTTATTTTTTTGCCTTGGCCTCCTTGGAATAAGGTGAGCTTGTCCAATCTCACATCCAATTTGAATCATTGATTTGCTTGCATCTAACGACTCATATATATAACAAAAAAGAGTTGTTAGATATAAATAGAATCAACAATCAAGATTGATAGTATAACTTACACAGTGTAAAATGATTATAATATATATATATATATTATATATATATATATATATACATACTAAGAATGAGGAATAAATCCTATTTGCACTCAACGAAGAAAACGAAAACAAATGGGTTGAGATTGCTAAAATTTCCTCCGAAAAATCTAGCTTAGTTGTGAGGACTTATTTTCATTCCAATGACTAAAAGGAAGAAATTGCAAAAAGGTATTTCATTTGTAGGTTTAGATTTTCATAAAAAATATGTTAATGTAAAAATCACGTCTTGGCTTTACACATTTGAAGTAAGCACAATTCTCTCTGTCTTCTATAACTTCCTTTTCCATTCATTTTTTTTTTTAAATTCCATTCAAATATTTTAATTGTGGAATTAAAGTGATGATGTGGATCTTATGCACTCAAGGTTTGATATCTTTGATGATGCCATGTCAACATAGTTTTGATGATAACAGACAAGGGTGGAGAAGTTGATTTAAGAGCCATAAAAGCAACATTAAAAAAGAATCCAAGTGTATATCAAAGCAATGCACATTCAAGTGCTCAAGTGTCAAAATCAATGATCAAGCCTCAAAATATATAGCTAAGTCCAAGATTACATTACATTATATATGTAAAAGTGTATAGTATATAGCATTGCATGAGCTCAAATCATTCTAATCATTACATGATCAAGGGGTATAATTACTAATGGAAAATCTCACCTTTTTTTAAAAGTTCTGATTTGGGGTCTGCACACCCACTCCTCAAGAAAGCAAGTCACAAGACCCGTTAACACCGTTGCCTAGCACGCGTCCCACCATGGCCTTCTTCCAATGGCTAATGTGACCAGTCCATTGGCCAATTACGCGCGCACACACAAGACTTTTCAGCCAAACACCAAAACCGATTCAATCCTTAAACTGGTCCCAATTTTCATCGGTTGAACCTAGGTCGCAGATGGGTCATTGGTTCTTTACCGATTCACATGCATGTACGATCTGTTCATTGGGCTAGACTAATTAGGGGTCCAGTTTTCGGGACAACCGGTTAGACTGACCGGTCCGAACACTGGCAATAACTACTAAAAAAAAAGGCAAACCTAAATGGGATCCAAACGATTGAGTGAGTTATCATTGTGGGCCTGGACCGTATCCAACTAGGTCAATCACTATTAACCCTCAACCAAACCCAACCCAAAACCCCCCCATAGTTTTGACTCTTTCTCTTGCTCTTTCCAGCACACTCTCGAATTCTTGAGACGTTTCCCTAATCGTTCACATTCTGCTATAATAATACATCTGAATCCAACACTTTCCTTTCCAAAACCTCTTGCAAGGTTCAAAAGCTTTGTTGCTGATTCACCCAAAACCTCTTTGAATATAAAAATTTGATTTTTAGGTTTTTCTCTTTTGTTATCCTTTCTGCTCAAATGGCCAAAGATGGACCCAACTGGGATGGATTGCTCAAGTGGAGCATTGCTCACTCCGATGGAACTCTCCCTACTCGTAATTTAAGGTTCAATTCAATTTCCTCTTTTGCCCCTTTTTGTTTTTTGTTTTCTTTCTTTATTTACCATGTTTTTTGGGAGTTGAAGTTGAGTTTGCACTTTACGATGGTTCATGTTAACACAACTATAAAACTTTCGTTTTCATTAGTTTCAGTTGTAAAAAACGCGTACCCATATTTCAAAAATTGATAAGATAACATGGTTTTTCATATTTTTTTTAATATTCAATTTTTTTTTTTAATGTAATGATTGGTTTTTCTTGTTTAATTTGAATGAGGAGGTGAATTTAATAATCGGGGGACTAGGGTCTTACTTTGTTACAATTTTGTGATTCTACAGTTAACTAATGTAAAAGCATCTTTTTTCGTAGTTGTAGTTGCAAAACCTATACCCATTTGTCAGAATTTATTTTAATGTTTCTGGGGGAAAATGGTTTGTGTTGTTGAATATGAAGTAATATTTTGTGGACTAGGTTTTGGTTCTGTAATTTTATGATTATGCAGTTGAAAAAGTATGAAAGTTTTATTTTTTTCGTGGTTGTAGTTTAAAATGCATAGTCATTTGTGAAATTTTCGTGTGTTTAAAAATAAAATATAAAAGTGGTTATTGTAGCTGAATATGAGTTAGGAGGCTCAAATTAATGTTCGGTGGACTAGTGCTTTATTTTGTTAATTTTGTAATATGCTTCTTTTTGATATATGTAGTTGTAGTTGCAAAAATGCATACCCATTTGTGAAAACCTAATACTTGTTATTGTTATTATTATTGTAGTTAAATATGAATAAGGAGGCTGAAATTAATATCCAGTGGACTAGGGTCTAAATTTGTTATTTTTATGATTCTGTAGTGAGGAGGATCGGAGATGGTTTATGGAAGCAATGCAAGCACAGACCGTTGATGTTGTAAAACGTATGAAAGAGATCACACTTGTAATGCAAACTCCAGAGCAAGTCTTGGAAGACCAAGGAGTCACCCCTGCAGACATTGAAGGTATCCAACACTTACATAAGTGCAAGACTAATGAAAAGGAAACTGCATTTTATTTTCAGTTAATGAGTAACTTTTTTTTAATCTCATACTAGTTTGGTAGGTTTCTAACATGGATATTTGACAGATATGTTGGATGAGTTGCAAGAGCATGTTGAGTCGATTGATATGGCCAATGGTGAGTTTTTACGATGGTTATGAACTTGATTTTGTTGAAGATTATATCAAAACTAATAATATTAATTAAGTTCTTGAGTTTTCTTGCTTGCTTAGGCTTGTTTGTGGTAGCTTCCAATGGAAATAGCTATAAATTTGGAGATCTTGATTTAATTGATTATGTAGTTTTTAGTAGCTTCTTCTATGGCATTATTCACTGCATGGTGAAGTGTCTTTCTTTAAATTTGGGCAATGCTGGGTCAATGTTAAATAGTTATCGCATGTTTTGAATTGTTATGCCTCCGCATAAATCAATGTACTGGTTTATTAGCTCTGGCTTTAATGGTCAAGACTGATGTTTTCAACTGTAATGATATTTGCTGAAAGTTGTTGATTTATACCTTTCCTGAGTCTAATTGTTTTTGTTCTCTTATTTTTCTATGTGATCATGGCGATTGTTGGCACTGCTGAAATATGATTTTGCTGTCTGTTGTTAATCTGTTCATTTTCCCATTTTGCATCGGATTTTATTGCTTGTGGTATTTCATGATTGGTTGGTTAGTGAATCTCTTATTCAACAACTGTATGTCTCACTATTCCCTGGTATTTACTTTTCCCCAGATCTCCACTCAATTGGTGGGTTGGTTCCTCTTCTTGGTTACCTCAAGAACTCTCATGCCAATATTCGAGCAAAGGCTGCTGATGTTGTGACCACAATAGTCCAGAATAATCCTCGAAGTCAACAACTTGTTATGGAAGCAAATGGCTTCGAACCTCTTGTTTCTAATTTCAGTTCAGATCCTGATGTGAATGTTCGAACTAAAGCGCTGGGTGCAATATCTTGTATGTATTATTATATTTTGCAGTTTTGATATTTTGTTTCCCTCTTTTGGAATGATATTGACTTAATTTCTGCTTTGGGGATGACTTGACAGCACTAATTCGGCACAACAAACCAGGCATCACTGCATTTCGTCTTGCAAATGGTTATGCAGCCTTAAGAGATGCACTAACCTCTGAAAATGTTAGATTTCAAAGGTAATTAATGTTTTTCTGATAAGTTTCTTATTATGTTATTCCTTTCAAATTTATCATTACCTCGAAATTTTTACTCTATGATTTCCTTACTTTTGATTCTGTTGTTTATTTTATAATGCAGTATTTTCATGCTATTACTTATTTGATTAATTAGACTTTTGAACCCTCATTAATTGGGGAGAACTGTCATGAATAACTTTCTGTCATGAATAACTTTCCTAAATGGTTAAGCTATTAGATGAAGATACATGAATGTTTCTATGTTACATTTTTAACGTGGTTTGCAAGAGCCTTCTGGGCTTGAATCGAGGACAATGCACCAGCCTACTTAGCTTGTGCAAAGAATAGGGCAGCAAGGATTGAACTCTAGCTCACTTGGTCCCATAGAGACTCTAATACCAATGTCATAAACTAACTTCTCCAAAAATTGAAGTTGTTGGGTGAAGACACAAATGATTTTATCTATTATATTTGTAACAAAAATTAATTTATAACGTGGTCTAATTTTACAATCTTTCAGGAAAGGTCTCAATTTGATCCATTACCTGTTGCATGAGAATAGTTCAGACTGTAACATTGTGAATGAGCTAGGATTTCCTCGTATATTGATGCACCTTGCTTCCAATGAAGACTCAGATGTCCGGGAAGCTGCCCTTCGAGGCCTTCTCGAGCTTGCTCGATATAAGAAAGATGATGGCTCTGCAGAGGATGATGAGAAAATGAAGCAACTTCTTCAAGAACGAATAAATAGTATCAGTTTAATGTCAGCTGAGGACCTTGGAGCAGCTAAGGAGGAGAGGCAGCTTGTGGACTCCCTTTGGAGTACTCGCTTCAACGAGCCATCTTCTCTTCGAGAGAAAGGTCTTCTTGTGCTTCCTGGGGAAGATGCAGCCCCTCCTGATGTTGCTAGCAAACTTTTTGAGCCTCCTCTTAGATCTCGGTCTGGGATTCAATCTTCCAAGAAGGACTCCAACAATGAAAAGAAAGAGACCCCTTTGCTTTTAGGGCCAGGGCCTTCTTCTGCAGGCACTAATGATCATGTTAGTTTAAGTAGAGGAGGAGATGCCAGTTAGCAAACATATACTCTTAGATGAGTCTTTAATGTTATCCATTTTTCTTCAATTTTGTGGAATTGTTGCTTTAAAAAAAAGTTAGATTAAGAGAAGAGACACTTCCTTTCAAGGGCATAGAAGACCACCAATCTCATAGAGGATTTGGACGGAAGGTTCTAAACAGGTGTGTGCCAACCCTTTGCTTCCTTTTTATCTTGTCGCGCAATAGTAATTTTTCTTTCATCCATAGGCGCATCGTACTATATGTATAGTGATTTCCCCTTGTCTTCCATTGTATTCCTAGGATGATCTCTTGATATGTGCCACTATAATTAGCCTTCCCTGGGTATTATATTGCTTACTATAGTTTCTTAGTGCATGTTTGCGGTTTGTCTTTCGTGTGCCATTACTGTGCGTTCTGATATTTTTCAACCCTTGTTTAAATGTCATATTCCCACCTTTTCATAATATGAACCAATATCCTCTAAATTCTCCTTTGTACCATAGTGATTCGCAGAGGGAATAGATTGGGGATTCTGGAAGGTGTATGGAGGGCTTATATATAGCAAACAAAAAAGAGGAATCTGAAGTTTGAACTTTTAATTAGGCTCTAAACTGATTAAGGTGCAAAATTAAAATAACAGCGGCTTAAAGGGGGCACGGTTGATGTTAATTCTGCATTACAGAAATTTAGTATATTCCAAGTTGAAGTCAAACGTTACAGAAGTTTCCTCTTGCCAGTTCCTCGCAATACTAAAATTGTTATATTTAAGTGAAATAAGATGATTCCTCTAACCGCCCTAGAAGCGTAGCGTTCCCACCTTTTGGTCATAGGATTTCATATAAAAGTAATGCATTTTTTAAAATTACTTTTTTAAATTGAGGCTAAAATCAGAAATTCTTTACCGGTTTAGATAGAAATCACACGTGATAATCGCTTTATTAATTTATTTGATGTCATGGACTCAATGAATGTAGAGTTTCTTCATATATATAATCTCATTCATTTTGTTGAAATGAGAGTCCACGCATATTTATTCTTAATTAACTAATTTAATTTTGGTCTCTTAAATTGAAACAAAATCAAGAATTAAAAATTGCACTATGATCAAAAGTGGACCGGGTCAACAACGAGTTTAATAACATCAAACAATAATATTAAGAGTTTAATTCACCCCCCACCCCCACCACACCCGCGCGCGCGCACATACAACAACAACTCGCACACATACAACAACAACTATGTATTTTAGAGGCAGCACATGAAGGTCGAGTACCAGATTGTCGGTTTGCGAAGAAGGAAACTCATTGGAAACAACATAACCCACGAAGACAAGATTCCTTAGCGATTTATTATTCTTATATTTCTTAAGAAAGAATTTACCTCTTACACATATAAATTTGAGATGGATTTTATTTTTATTTTTTCTCTTTTTTTCGCTGAAAGTAGACTCCACCTCATAATGAGTCTGTAATAATTATCTCCAAAGGCATGAAAAAACTCTTACCCTTATATATATTGAACTGTTGAATATATTTAATTTTTTTATATTATAAAAAATAATTTTATATGATATGCAGGTAAAAATGAGTAGGGTTGATATGAGGTTATACGAGCAGAGGAAAGAAAAAAAAACCACAAACACTTTTATTTATAGGTAAACGATTTCTCCGGATCAATGGAGATAAGTTGTCTCTTATGACAGAAATCAAAGTATTTTAATAATTTTAATATATTATAAAATTATATTAATCTTTATTATTATAATTTTTTAATCTTATAATTTTAAAAAGTCATCATTTTCAGAGATAATTTTATATCTAGTAACTAACAAAATACTTTTCTTCATATTTATATATAGAAAATAATTTTATGTCAATATTAAACCCATTAAACCATTACCCATATTTGACGTTTAACCTACTCAGCTACTCCAACCATATCTTACCCTCTTCTCTCCTAAATTACAATCATCCATCAGTTGAACACACACACACACCTCAAAAATGTCATCAAAGTCAGTTAGACAACGACCCACACCCACGAAGCAAGCCTCCGCATCCGACACATCCACAGGAACATCACAACAACAACCACAACGACAACAACCTAAACCAAGGCCACGACGTGCACTCTCACAAACTCTATCCGGTGCAGCCAACTTGGCCAACCTTCTTCCAACGGGTACACTGCTAGCATTCCAGATCCTGACGCCGGTATTCACCAACAACGGTATCTGTGACTCGGTGACGCGTCCACTCACCATAGGGCTCCTCCTCCTTTTGGGACTGTCTTGCTTCCTCGCTTGCTTCACTGACACCGTCAAGACATCCGACGGACAGGTCTACCATGGCCTCGCTACCTTAAATGGACTCTGGCTCTTTGATTACCCGGATCCGGATCCATCTACATCCGGGCTACCCGACTTGAGGAAGTACAAGGTGAGGTTCATTGATTTTGTTCATGCACTGTTGTCTGTGCTGGTCTTCTGTGCCGTTGCTCTTAGGGACAAGAATTTGTTAAGATGCTTTTACCCAAAGCCAGAGCATCAAACTCTGGAGTTGCTTGATATTCTTCCTGTTGGGATTGGTTTTATCTGTGGTTTGCTCTTTGTGGTTTTTCCAACCACCAGGCATGGGATTGGCTATCCTGTTACATCCGCCAAATAATTATTATCTTTTTCATTTCCAAGTGCCAGATTCGGAGTTCGAATTTTTTTTTTTTCTCAAATGCTTACGAGCAAAAGTTAGGGTAAATAAATTTTTACAAAAGCTATTGTAATTGGGAACATCTAGTATACTATCGGTGCACAGTACAACGGTCATATCGGTAATATATATTTTCGAGAATATATAATATAAATATTAAAATTATTTTTTTTCTCCTTTTCAAAAATTATTTGTTCATACGTAGAGAAAAAAGTAATTTTAATATTTTTATTATATATATTTTTGAAAATACATGCTGCAAATATGATTGTCGTAGCAGCTGTCGTATGGGAGGTGAACATGTGGGGTTGAGAGTAGGTAGAGTTGAGAGTAGGGGTGTTAATGAGCCGAATTGAGTTTTGGTAACCCTGTATTTAAATGTGTTAGCCTGTTCAAGTCTGTTACTTGTTATAAATGTAATTATTGTCATATGACTTAATTTATTTATAAAAAATAAAAGTATGATGTAGTCCGTTAAAAAAGAAATAAATCAACAAAAATTTATCCAAACAGAATATACTATCAACAGTAATAGTAATTTCATAAATATTCATAAATTCAATGTTTATCCAAACAACATAATGTAAAACAAAATCATTCAAAATATCTGTTTAACCGAGAAAATGAGAGGAAATGGATTTAGAAGAGAGAGAAAGCTATTACAAGTGTATAAAAAATATAAAATAAAAATAAAAATTAATATACTAGGCTAGCCTGTTCTAAGGCTGAACTTTTGAGTTAGAGTATGAGGCTTTTTCACTAAACGAACTTTTATACAAATTCAACGACAATTAATTTTAGACATGTAAGTTCAAGCTTTCATGAACCAAGTCAAAGACTTCTGAAAGGCCCCTGGCTCGTTTATCACTCCTAGTTGAGAGTATGTGGGGTTGAGAACATGTGTTCGATCTTTTCGATCCTTTCTAGTATCACTCTTGGGAGAAGTTTAAAGCCTTAATCTTGGATCCGCTCTAAATCGGAATATTCGTGAATCGATTGAAATATTTTCCAAAAAAAAAATTTAATTTTTTTATAAATAAAAAATAAAAGTCAAAAATTACTTGAAGGAGCTTTTTAAAAAAAAATAAATAGCGTCATTTTTAAGCTAACTAAAAGAAAAAGAGGTTGTTAATGTTACGCACAGTACATGCAGCACTGTACTTGGTGCTAAATTTTTGTTTCCAAAAAAAGAAATTATTATCGTCTTGCTTCAGGAAGCTGATTTTGCTTGTGTCCAACAGTGGACTGAGTCTCAAGTCCAGTATTTGATCTGTGATATGCTGCAAAGGATAATTTCAAGTGTCGAGGTTGAACTAATTATTTTTTGATCAAACTTTCTTTTGGTTAACTAACTTCCTTGGATACACCCGAATTATTTCTCGTTAATAGGTGCTGCAGTTTGGTTAACGAGTCACAATTACATTCGTTCTGTGTTTCTAATTTTTCGAGTTAAAGTGTTGGTGGAACCGAATTTATTTTTAAAAATAATAGCCTTGTGAAGATGGTGGTAAAAAAAGAAAAAGGTGTAAAGTAAAGGGGACAATATATATTTTTTTTTTTGGTAAACAGAGAGGGCTACTGCCCAAACAAACTAAAAATTAGAAACAGATGAAATTAACTTCCTGTTAGCCTCCACAAATTCCTGAAGTTCTAGAGGAATGGAGTTGTGGCGCTGATGTCTAATTCTCGACTTGATTCCATGCTTGGTTAACCAATCTGCACAGATATTACCATCACAGAGGACATGGTTGATTTGGACTTTCCAATCTTTGTCTAACCAGTTCCTTAACTTTGTGATGAGACGAGTTTGTCGAGTGTCATCTCTCCTAATTATAAGAGTAGATACAAGCTCCTCCGAGTCATCCTCCAGTTGCACGTTCCTAAAACCCATGCCCCACGCCAGTTGGAGACCTGACAAAGCTCCCAACATTTCTGCTTCAATAGGCTCACAAATACCCAAGTAGCTAGATATACCTCCCAGTCAGTCCCCCTTACCTGATGTAATTAAAGCTCCACATCCAGCAAATTGCTTTCTAATGCAAACAGCTCCATCAAAATTTATTTTTGTCCAACCAGAACGTGGAGGTACCCAAATTGCTAATCATCCATCTCCTCTAATACCATTATCATGCAAAACCTTAGGTGCAGATTTTGCAGCTTTAATATCTGCAATATAAGATGATATAATTTCCAAAGGGTTTGGGTTCCTTCTAAACGAGGGATCATGCACCACTTTATTGCGCCAAATCCATAAAAAATAACAGGTGACAAAGAAAATGTCCTTCCATGACTCATGAGAGTGGTTACCCCAAGCTCCCAATATTAGAGAAGTGGGTCAAAAACTGTACAGGCAGAAGCTTTAACTTTACAAAACGTTTGCCCCTCCTTTAAAATTAGCTTCAACATAACCAATCGACAAGGGTGGAAAGGATAAATCACCTTTAAGTTGCAAGCACTCAATGTGTGGTCACTAGATGATCAACGAAACGTGCACACTAGGCTCAAAACGACCAAATCAAAACAATAAACATGTCATGAGTTATGAGTAAGGGTGAAAGTGGGTCAGGCCGGTCTACAAAGGCTTACGGCCTAGCCTATATCAGGTCGAACATGACCTATTATATATAGTCAACTAGAACATGCACGAGCTTTTAAAGAAGCCTAATTAGAAAGTAGGTGATAGGCTTTTTTTTAACATACCGGGCCTATAAGCCTATAGGCCGACCTATATCATATTATTTATTTTAAATTAAATAAAATAATATTATTCATAGTAGTACCAAATGATGATAGTTCATTGGTGCATGTGAACTAAGTAGGTGGTGGAAGGGCTTAGATTCGTTCCCTCACCAATATTATCTTTGAGAATGACATAAGATCTGTATCAGTCTCTACATTACCATTAGAATCAACATTTAGTGCTGGAGGAAGAGTTATTGATGCCTATCGTTCTAGCTTGGCTAAAGATACCATCCAAGCTTTAATATACGGCGGAGGTTGGCTACGTAATGAGTATGACTTGAAGAAAAAACAAAAGGTATAAATTTAATCAACTGAAGTTATTTTATAATTTAATTATATTCGATTAAATTTTAATAAAAAATTGACTTTATTTTTTATGTAGGAGGAACCAACATCTCAGTATCTGAGATTGCCTATATGAATCTATTAAAATATTTTTTGTTTCTTAATCTTTTTTTTATTCTATTCTTTATTTTTGTTTTCTACATTTACAAATTGTTTGCCAACTTATGTAATCTTGAAATTGTATTTGTAGGGGAGAGAAGATGCAGAAAAGTTTTTCGCTACTACAAGCATCATGATGTGTTTTTTGGATTCGTGTAGTTATTTTAATTTACATAGTATAGATTTATTTGTTGGATTCGTGTAGTTATTTTAATTTACATAGTATAGATTTATTTAGATCTGATGAAATATATGTTATTTAGTTTGAACATTTTGCTTTTGAAAGTGACTTAAATGCAGATTGTGATGAGTTTTGTTGTGATTCATGGTTCTGTTTGGACGTTGAAATTATGATTTTTGTTTTTGCAACATAATTTGAGTATTTTGTGAAGTTTATTCATGGTTCTGCTTAGAAGTTAAAAATTAATAATGGACCAAGTCAGGCAATTTTTTTTTTTTTTTTGTAAATGGGCCAAGTCAGGCTAACAGTTAGACTCGTACTAGGCTAGGGCGAGGCCAAATTGAAATTTTTTGATATAGACTTAGACTTTTCAGGACAAAGCTCGACCCAGCCTAACCTGCTCTCAGCCCGAGCAATTGTTAAATGGGTAGTAGCTCAGCTGAAAAGGCAAGGAAGGCTCCATAATTATAAGAATATCCAAGTAATAACAATAAGGGGGCGTTTGGTACAAGAGAAATATTTTTAAATCCGGGAAACAATTATTACTGAAATACATTTAGAAATATATGTTTTCTGGAATATTAGTAAAAGGTGTTTGGTATGGTAAAATTTTCCCGGGAATATATGGTTAATTTTACTGAATGTGTGTTTGGTTAGTTGTGAAATATTAGTGGGAAAGAGATGTTATTTTACGAAATTGACCTCACGTTAACTTCTTTATATTTTTTAAAAAAGAAAAGGGTCTGCTGTGTGATACCTAAATTAAGAAATGGATGGTTTTCAAATAAGGGCTTCTGAACAAGTTCAACCGTGGACCCTTGTGATTCTTACACAGTAAGCATCTCTCTCTCTCTCTCTCTCTCTCTCTCTCTCTCTTTTTCTATCCTCTTTTGTGTTTGAAATTTGAACTTTTAGGCATTGAAGACTGAAGAGTTAACAAAATTGAAATGAGTATAAATGGTTTGTCTAATATCACCTCTTTTTTTTTTTTGGTTTTTGATTGATTCAATTGAGAAGCTATCAGATGGTGGGACTGTAAACTTGTTGAGTAGATCACATGGTGTGTACAATATCAACGAGCTTGGTTTGCAAAAGTCCACATCTCGGTCTGTACATGAAACTGATATCAGTGAGAAAACATATGCCTTGTGCTTCTCATAAGATGAGAATATTTGGAGCAATTGGTAGTGGGGCCAGTAGTGTTGTTCAGAGAGCTATACATATACCAGCACATAGGATTCTTGCATTAAAGAAGATCAATATCTTTGAGAAGGTATTTCCTGCTCTTAATTCTTCTGGCATTTCTCTATAATCCCCCATTTACAATTTCAATTTGAATCTCATGTAGCATAGAACTGTGCTTTTTTGTGTTGCTTTTAGTTCTGTATCATCTTATTTATGATTGCAGTTAAACCATGCTATGTAGTATGCACGAGATATGTTATCTGGCTTTCTAAAATGTGGTTTTTTCTTGATGCTGGGTAATACAATTTTTTCCTGTTCTGTTTTTAAAGTTTTGGAGTTGCTAGACACTTTTTTTTAGGGAGCAGACTTTGCATACATAATAAATTGTTATAACAGCGACCAAGCTGAACTTCCCCTTGAACAAGGGCACTATATAATATATATTGGGAGGGAAACATCTGTAATTGAGCTAATCAATTATATGAGTTTAGAGACTAATAGTGAGAAGCAATTGAACACCAATAGATAGATATTGTTCCCCCTTTGACTTCTGCTATATATAACTCTCTAGTAGTTGATTTATTTTTTAACTTGGATTTCATTATTTCTCTTTTTTGTTTGGTTTCTGCTAGACGTATTTATTTTTATGTGAATTATGTGTTTTCATTTTCCTTTTAATTATAGTACTCCCTAATCAGAATGTTGTTTTTTCCACCTTGAGGCATGTTCTGTCATACCTATTTTCTCTTTGCATGTGTATCCTTGAGGTGATGATCTCTATTCATCTAAATAATGCCCTTTTTAGTTGTATTTATTCTTCGGGACATTCAAGCCAAGGTTATGGATTCTTCAATGTATTTTTAATTAGGTTATTTTTCTTTTTTGGGTGGGATTAATGAAGTTTTTATTTGATAGG